GCGTTACAACAAGCCACAACCGTGACATTTTCAGCATGCTTAGGCTCAACCATATTATGAACCCGTCATACTCCCTTTTCAAATATATCGCGTTATTGATGGTGTATGGTGAGGCGGCAGCCTTTTTAGTCCATATTATATATATTTTGAGGTTTATCTTTAAAGTTCATTGTTGCTATAAGTTCGGATATCTTGGTGAACTAGTCAGATATGATTGCCTTGTTTAGTTTTTGAGCGCGTTCAGGATTCTTAGGTTGCGTCATTCGTACAGATAAATCTGCATGACTCTTCAGGAACAATGACAGCCAGTCCTTCCCAGTAAGCTGCTCTTCTTTATTAAAATTATGGCGAATGTTGTTTATATCACAATATCGAAACATTTGATGTCGGACAAGTTTGGGAGTAAGATGTAAACCAATTTGACAGTATCGTTTAATCCGCTGCACAAAATCTCTTTCCTGATAATGACTCAATATGCTTGGACGACCCAATTTCTTTTCTGACAAGCCTTGAACTAAATATCGTCGTAAAGTACCCTTAGGAATTTAAAATTTAGAACAAACATTTCGTTGAGATTTCCTGTTTCTGGCAGCTGCTATGGTCTCTTGAAGTTGGTCTTCAGACCTCCGCTTGCATACATTTTTGCATACTTTTCCTATCTTAAACCTAAAACCAAGAAAATATATTTAATTTTTTTTAATTAAGTAGGGTAATATGCCCCCACTGGCAAGTTATATGGCCCAAGGCCATATTAACCAAAAAGACCTCCAGACATCAATAATGGGTAAAAAATACGAATTTTATTAACGAATAAATATTCCGTGCAGAGAAAATAACAACATACACCTCTCTTAATTGTGCTGACCGTTTACTTTAGTTCTTAGCATAAAAACGTAGTCAACAAATTAACCGATCATTTATAATAGCACGCGTCTAATCCGGCAGTCAGAATGTAACTAGGTGCTGCATGCAAAATCGTGGCGCCTAATGATTCCTCAAACATTCGTTGGCAGTGTTTCCAGAACATATTTTTGTGCCAGATTTGTCTAAAAAATGTACCAGATTCCATAAAACTCTACCAGAATCTATAAAATGTACCAAATTTTTCGAATTGTGAAGTGTGGTAATTAAAGAGCAAAAAAAAGAGAACACCAACACAAAAACAAGGAAGACCCCAACAATTAGGCATTCAAAACAAAATAACTGCCAGTGGGTTTTGACAAGTTATAATATGGCAACCCTGTTGGCCTGGTAATTTGACAGGGTCAATGATATAGATAGTTATATAGATTGATAATCTATGTTCTTCAAAATAAACAAGTGTCGAGATGTAAATTATGGTTGACTAATACGAACAATACATGCAAACGGTGCTTCTTTTTTCTTTATTTGTATTTATAACCATATTGGATGAGAAATCTATTATAGTTCATGTAACATAATTGAAACATGAATAGTTGGAGTTACGATTTTTTTTTCTAACAATAGTAACAGCTATTTTAAGTTTTGTACTCCCCTGAGGACAAATATCTTTTTGAGGGGCTACAGTTATTACTAATCCTATATCTGCATTTTCTTATTTAGGAAATATATTAGTTCAATGAATTTGAGGAAGTTTTGCAGTAGATAACGCAACATTAAACCGATTTTTTACATTTCATTTTATTTTACCATTTATTATTCTAGCTTTTATAATTATTTACTTATTTCTACATCAAACAGGATCAAGAAATCCAATTGGTACAAAAAGAGATAATAATAAGATTCCTTATTTTGGTTATAAAGACATTTTAGGAAGATTAATTTTAATAGTTTTATTAACTTTCTTGCCTTGAAGAAAAAATGTAAGTAATTATTTTTTTACTATATTCAAATGCTGAAAATTGGTTTTAAAACACATTATCGCTAAACTGATTCTGATTAATGAGCATTTGCAAGGCAATATGGCCGCTCGCAAAACGATCCTCTTTGAGCAATCTATACAACTATATATGTATCATTCACCCTGTCAATAACAGCAAGCTACAGGGTTGCCATATCTAAACTATCAGTCTCCACCTGTTAGCATATTCACAGGTTATTGGAATGCATAATATATTATTACGCAGCACCCTGCAGTTACCTGCAAATATTATAGGAAACTTACGAATAGAAATATAAGTGGAATATTACTTATCGCCCTAGAGTGTCCTGCGCTCGTCATAACTAAAAGTACCAGTAAAAGAAGATAGAATAGTCCAGAAATTTCTGGAAATATCATTACCTGTCAAGAAAATTCTAGACGACAGTTCGTGAAGGTTCTAGAAGAGTCAAGCAAGCTATATAAGGTAATGATCCTGACGAGAGTGTTCAGTTTTATGATACACGTTATATGTTAATGTTATCAGTTGTATAGTTCTTATAAAAGTTGAGTTGAAATAAATTGTGATACCAAAAACCTGCGTAGCAATATTAGAGAGTTGACATCTACGCATGCGTATTTAAATATCCTTGATGTTCACGTCTACGTACATACGTAAGCTTACGGACTCTGGCGTATGTACGCAACGCAAACAAAATAACCTCTTTTTAATTGGGAAAGAAGATATCCTGATATTAATTGTTATTATCTGTTATGACACGTAAATGTCACAATGCGTTTAACAACTTCAACTCAGATTTTAGACTTCAATGTAAACATTATATTTCTGCGTTGACGTTCACGTTTACGGTAATGTATTGGAAATACTTCAACTCTCTAATATACATGTCAAACGGAAACATACGCTGAAAAAATAAAGTACTAGATTTTGCTTTGAGTGTACTAGTTGTACCAGAATCTCAGATCTAGTACAATTGTACCAGACTGGCAACACTGTTCGTTGGTAGTGAGGGTTAAAGGCAGTTATCTGACGTTGCCAGATCGCTGATAAATACTTTAGTCTTTGTGCTAGAAATGTTGGCCATATTACCTGCTGGGACATATTTGCCTCCACTACCTTAGTTAAATTTTAGCAAAAACAGAATAAGTTTTGATACAGAAAATGTTTAGTGACAAAAATCTCATGTCTTTTCATGGCTTTTCTGTCTAGTTATTACAGACTTCTTTCAGGTTATTTTTTGCAATCTATTAGTCACCACAGTAAATGTTTAGAGAATGAACTAAATACATACATTTTGAATACACACAGATCTTACTTAAAACATTTTATTTATATATTAACTGCCAACGAAAATACTGAAAAATTAAAATTTTACACTTTTACTCAAATTTTTGCATTACGGTTCATTTTAGAGAAATCATGTATACGAGTATAAACAACTTTTGGTCAATAAATTTTTTTAAAAACTTAAATTTTGCACGTAAATAACAGATATATTCCATAAAGTAGAAGATCGACCCCCTATAAAGTACCCTATAAATATTCCAACTAAAATTTTTAGCATACCAGAATTGATTAAATCGTATGTTAAAATTTGATGTTTTTCTTTGTATCCGTTCATGAGTTATCGAGTACACAGAAACATCATCGCGAAAATAGTCAAAACAGATTCAAGAAACCCCAAAACGTAAAAATCCGAAAATAGTTTTGCATGTGTTAACACATTCTGATACATGCAAGGGACATAACAGAAATATAAATATGGCTCTTATGTTTAACAAATATCCACAAAAGTAACACTATTATTAAACAAAAATGCATTTTATCTAATCACACTCATCTAGAGTGTGATCCAAACCATGTACAAATTGAAAGTGGTCACTCTGTATAAAATACAGCTAATCCAGTTATAATGATGAAAGAAAATATTGTCCTGTATATGTATATCAAATGAAATATGTAATCTAATTTTTCTCATTTAGGTAATCTAATAATAATATTTTTTTTTTTGAGTATTTTCACCACTAGACAATAAAAGACAATATTAAAAACGTCTTTCTACAGATAATTCTTATTTTTTTTTTTTTTAATTCACCTAAATATTTAATGAAATAGTTAACTTAATATGTCGCCATCACTAAAATTTCCAATATAAAACCCCAACTTATTACACACTATTTTAGATTATTAATAAACCATTTAATAATTTGGCAACCGGCCATACTCTAATATTAATTTTTTTTATTTAAAAACGTTTTACTTGACCGAGAATTTATTGAACTCAAGTTACTTCGGTTAACGTTCAACGCCTTCAGCCTCTCTACACGTTTGACCATAGCATTGTTTAAATTATAATCATATCAGTAAATCAAAGCACTAGTGTAATTCAGTATCTGATTTTGGACCAATCAATAATTTATAAAAATTTCAACAACTGTCCTAAACAATTAGCAATAAGTGACATATCAGCTTCTTCCTATTAACCATAGATTTCTGAAATCTTAAACGTACATGCACATTACTATGAAGTAATTTTTGTAAACGAGATTAATTTAGCATTTAAAACAATATTTTATTAAAAGCATTTTTTTGTTATAAAAAAATTGCTTGTTCTTTTTCAACGAAAACTGTTACACACTTTATAGAAACACTTTTGAATATCCCCTCGACTAATTCCCGATTTCTTTGGACGCCGCTGGTCACTAAAATGCATAATTTAATCTATATAATTCCGGAATAAATTAAGCAAATCATTAATTTGCAAATTACATTTTATATAGGAAAAACACAAAGGGTGGTGTAAGTGTCTTAAAACCTGTCATTCTTCTTCTTTTTAAAACGCCGTGACGTCAAATCTAATAGATTTATTATCTAAATATAGACGAATGATTTACAAAAAGAAAAAACAATGTCAGTAGATGAAAAAATTAACATTTTTCATAATGGTTGAAAGATTAACGTTAGTTTTGTTTAGTTACAAACTGATTTTAAGGTGTTATATACATAAAAGGTTTCTAGCGGGCCATGAAAAAAGTGAAGTATGTCGGAGCGTACATTCTTCTTCTTTTTTAATGGTCATGGTCAACATTACAAAAAAATGTTGTAAATCAGATGTTTATATTATATTTTTTATTTCAGGTCTTTTTATGAAATATTATGGACCAGTATGTTACGTACTCTACAGAATATATGAACCTTTAGATAGATGCGAGAAGATCTTCATGAAGATGTCAAATATTTCCAATCTAACTACGCAGGTAAGACGTATTTAAATATTTTTATTATCAGAAAGTATGAGGCAATAGCAACTTGTGCAAAGTTGTTAAGATAATGGCTGTAACTTACGCCGTAAACTCGACGCCGTAGACGGAGTGCTCGTCTGAATGCGATACGGATAATCCATTCGAGTTTAACAGTATATTTATTCTACGACCAACTAATAAAAATCTACAATTTTACTTTAGAGCATTTGAACCCCTGGCTTTTCCCAAAGCATCTATTTCTCCGTCCAATGGCTTAAGGGGGTAAAATGATAGTAGGTAAAATAAATAGAATTTTTATCATTTTTATTAATTATAAACTTTTTCCATGCATATACATTTTTGTGCATATACATTTTTGGGACATTTTCAAAAAATAAATAAATCTTTGGGCCATACTGTTTATTTAAACATATCCAATTATATTTTGTTTTGTTTTTTACGTGTTTAACTTGTACTTCTTCGTGACTGTTCTGTTTTTTTTTGTACTTTTGTGTACTTTTTACTTTTTCTTTACATTGGGAGGGTTCAAGTATTACGTAAGCAAACATTTAATTATTTTAGATCTCTATTCCCTCCGTATATCAGGAAAAATTAAAAAATACCCTTCTTTCCCCAAATCATAAGCCGAAAGATTTTTTTTCACCCACATGGATATTAGCTGCTCTGCCCACAGACTACGAAACGAAAAAGTATACCATTGTGTTCAACTGAACGAACATATTTTATATCCATTCTAGGTAGTGGGAACACTGCAAAAAAATGAAATCCACCAATCACAGTTCATATTTTGGACACCCGACTACTATTATTTTTAAAATAAGTGACAATTCTGTTAAACTAACTGTCAGTGTATTTTTGAGTTATTTGGATTAAAAATACATTAAAATAACTCATTGTAATGTATATCTTATCTTCTGCAGAATCATTAAATAATAGCATTTCTATTTTTATTTCGTCTATAATTATAAATAATAGACTGGGTCAAAAAAATACAACAATTTTTTTTCTTAGCGGAACTATGAAAATATTGTTCATGACGACAAAAAAAATTTTCCTGAAAGTTTGAGCCCTTAATAATAATATTAAGAGGTGCATCATTGCAGTTATTGATTTTTCAACAGTTGTCGCGTTTTTGCATAAATTTCGGACTTTTCATCTCTTATCCTAGTATGAAATTAAATTCCCCACAAAAAAGCTCTCTTAGTAAATTTTCGTAAGACGAGTCTATTCTTTGTAATCTTAATATTTAAGTTTATTTTGGAAATCCCAAATGCAAAGTGAAAAATTGAAAATATATACCAATGTTTAAGGCTCGATTACAAAGAATAGACTCGTCTTAGGAAAATTTACTAAGAGATTTTTTTAAAATTGACCAAGTCCGAAATTTATGCAAAAACGCGACAACTGTTGAAAAATCAATAACTGCAATGATGCACCTCTTAATATTATTATTAAGGGCTCAAACTTTCAGGTAATTTATTTTTTGTCGTCATGAACAGTATTTTCATTGTTTCTCTAAGAAAAAAAATTGTTTTATTTTTTTGGCCCAGTCTAATAAATAATTCGTTAATTTTAATAAAACTATATGAAGTTAAATTAATTACGAGCACTAAACAAAAATGTCAAGCTCCTCGATGAAAATGAGATCAAAGTCTGCGTTCAAATCTAGGATGGGACAATTGAATTAAATTTTTTTATTTTTTTTTTATTTTATAAATTAGTAGAAGTCATAAATTATTTTTAAATTAGTAATTTTATATTAATAACCTAAAATACTTATTAAAATTTGTAGATTTTCGTTAGTGGGTCGTAGAAAAAAATATACTGTACAACTCTAGTAGATTGTCCATATCTACTCTTGTTGCACAAAACTACCATTTAAAAAATAAGTATTAAATTAAAAAAAAACTAAGTTCTAAAATTAAAATAGTAGTGTTTTAATAAAATTAGGGTTGATTAATTTATTGTCCACGAACTACTTATCTTAGTTTATAAGCCATTAACAACTAGTAGTTTATCTTCACAAGTCATTCATTGATTCCGTTAGATTATTAAGGTCAAAATAGTTTTATTAATTTAAATCAAAAATATTATTTTGAAAACATTTTCATTATGTTGTAATTATTTATCTTTTATCTACATTTTTAATGTGACCCACTCTCTTTCTCAGCAAAAAAAAGAACTACCCAACTTCTTAAACTTGCTTACGTAATACTTAAAAGCCCCCTTTTTTGTTTTGGACGTATGTATCCTATTTTGTATTTTTTTATTATTTTTTTTATAGGTTTTTGTAATTTTTAAACTATTTTGTACTTTTTTGTACTTTTTTGTACTTTTTTGTACTTTTTTGTACTTTTTTGTACTTTTTTGTACTTTTTTGTACTTTTTTGTACTTTTTTGTACTTTTTTGTACTTTTTTGTACTTTTTTGTACTTTTTTGTACTTTTTTGTACTTTTTTGTACTTTTTTGTACTTTTTTGTACTTTTTTGTACTTTTTTGTACTTTTTTGTACTTTTTTGTACTTTTTTGTACTTTTTTGTACTTTTTTGTACTTTTTTGTACTTTTTTGTACTTTTTTGTACTTTTTTGTACTTTTTTGTACTTTTTTGTACTTTTTTGTACTTTTTTGTACTTTTTTGTACTTTTTTGTACTTTTTTGTACTTTTTTGTACTTTTTTGTACTTTTTTGTACTTTTTTGTACTTTTTTGTACTTTTTTGTACTTTTTTGTACTTTTTTGTACTTTTTTGTACTTTTTTGTACTTTTTTGTACTTTTTTGTACTTTTTTGTACTTTTTTGTACTTTTTCGTACTTTTTTGTACTTTTTTGTACTTTTTTGTACTTTTTTGTACTTTTTTGTACTTTTTTGTACTTTTTTGTACTTTTTTGTACTTTTTTGTATTTTTTGTACTTTTTTGTACTTTTTTGTACTTTTTTGTACTTTTTTGTACTTTTTTGTATTTTTTTGTACTTTTTTGTACTTTTTTGTACTTTTTTGTACTTTTTTGTACTTTTTTGTACTTTTTTGTACTTTTTTATACTTTTTTGTACTTCTTTGTCCATCTTTGTCCTTCTTTGTCCTTCTTTATCCTTCTTTGTCCTTCTTTGTCCTTCTTTGTCCTTCTTTGTCCTTCTTTGTCCTTCTTTGTCCTTCTTTGTCCTTCTTTGTCCTTCTTTGTCCTTCTTTGTCCTTCTTTGTCCTTCTTTGTCCTTCTTTGTCCTTCTTTGTCCTTCTTTGTCCTTCTTTGTCCTTCTTTGTCCTTCTTTGTCCTTCTTTGTCCTTCTTTGTCCTTCTTTGTCCTTCTTTGTCCTTCTTTGTCCTTCTTTGTCCTTCTTTGTCCTTCTTTGTCCTTCTTTGTCCTTCTTTGTCCTTCTTTGTCCTTCTTTGTCCTTCTTTGTCCTTCTTTGTCCTTCTTTGTCCTTCTTTGTCCTTCTTTGTCCTTCTTTGTCCTTCTTTGTCCTTCTTTGTCCTTCTTTGTCCTTCTTTGTCCTTCTTTGTCCTTCTTTGTCCTTCTTTGTCCTTCTTTGTCCTTCTTTGTCCTTCTTTGTCCTTCTTTGTCCTTCTTTGTCCTTCTTTGTCCTTCTTTGTCCTTCTTTGTCCTTCTTTGTCCTTCTTTGTCCTTCTTTGTCCTTCTTTGTCCTTCTTTGTCCTTCTTTGTCCTTCTTTGTCCTTCTTTGTCCTTCTTTGTCCTTCTTTGTCCTTCTTTGTCCTTCTTTGTCCTTCTTTGTCCTTCTTTGTCCTTCTTTGTCCTTCTTTGTCCTTCTTTGTCCTTCTTTGTCCTTCTTTGTCCTTCTTTGTCCTTCTTTGTCCTTCTTTGTCCTTCTTTGTCCTTCTTTGTCCTTCTTTGTCCTTCTTTGTCCTTCTTTGTCCTTCTTTGTCCTTCTTTGTCCTTCTTTGTCCTTCTTTGTCCTTCTTTGTCCTTCTTTGTCCTTCTTTGTCCTTCTTTGTCCTTCTTTGTCCTTCTTTGTCCTTCTTTGTCCTTCTTTGTCCTTCTTTGTCCTTCTTTGTCCTTCTTTGTCCTTCTTTGTCCTTCTTTGTCCTTCTTTGTCCTTCTTTGTCCTTCTTTGTCCTTCTTTGTCCTTCTTTGTCCTTCTTTGTCCTTCTTTGTCCTTCTTTGTCCTTCTTTGTCCTTCTTTGTCCTTCTTTGTCCTTCTTTGTCCTTCTTTGTCCTTCTTTGTCCTTCTTTGTCCTTCTTTGTCCTTCTTTGTCCTTCTTTGTCCTTCTTTGTCCTTCTTTGTCCTTCTTTGTCCTTCTTTGTCCTTCTTTGTCCTTCTTTGTCCTTCTTTGTCCTTCTTTGTCCTTCTTTGTCCTTCTTTGTCCTTCTTTGTCCTTCTTTGTCCTTCTTTGTCCTTCTTTGTCCTTCTTTGTCCTTCTTTGTCCTTCTTTGTCCTTCTTTGTCCTTCTTTGTCCTTCTTTGTCCTTCTTTGTCCTTCTTTGTCCTTCTTTGTCCTTCTTTGTCCTTCTTTGTCCTTCTTTGTCCTTCTTTGTCCTTCTTTGTCCTTCTTTGTCCTTCTTTGTCCTTCTTTGTCCTTCTTTGTCCTTCTTTGTCCTTCTTTGTCCTTCTTTGTCCTTCTTTGTCCTTCTTTGTCCTTCTTTGTCCTTCTTTGTCCTTCTTTGTCCTTCTTTGTCCTTCTTTGTCCTTCTTTGTCCTTCTTTGTCCTTCTTTGTCCTTCTTTGTCCTTCTTTGTCCTTCTTTGTCCTTCTTTGTCCTTCTTTGTCCTTCTTTGTCCTTCTTTGTCCTTCTTTGTCCTTCTTTGTCCTTCTTTGTCCTTCTTTGTCCTTCTTTGTCCTTCTTTGTCCTTCTTTGTCCTTCTTTGTCCTTCTTTGTCCTTCTTTGTCCTTCTTTGTCCTTCTTTGTCCTTCTTTGTCCTTCTTTGTCCTTCTTTGTCCTTCTTTGTCCTTCTTTGTCCTTCTTTGTCCTTCTTTGTCCTTCTTTGTCCTTCTTTGTCCTTCTTTGTCCTTCTTTGTCCTTCTTTGTCCTTCTTTGTCCTTCTTTGTCCTTCTTTGTCCTTCTTTGTCCTTCTTTGTCCTTCTTTGTCCTTCTTTGTCCTTCTTTGTCCTTCTTTGTCCTTCTTTGTCCTTCTTTGTCCTTCTTTGTCCTTCTTTGTCCTTCTTTGTCCTTCTTTGTCCTTCTTTGTCCTTCTTTGTCCTTCTTTGTCCTTCTTTGTCCTTCTTTGTCCTTCTTTGTCCTTCTTTGTCCTTCTTTGTCCTTCTTTGTCCTTCTTTGTCCTTCTTTGTCCTTCTTTGTCCTTCTTTGTCCTTCTTTGTCCTTCTTTGTCCTTCTTTGTCCTTCTTTGTCCTTCTTTGTCCTTCTTTGTCCTTCTTTGTCCTTCTTTGTCCTTCTTTGTCCTTCTTTGTCCTTCTTTGTCCTTCTTTGTCCTTCTTTGTCCTTCTTTGTCCTTCTTTGTCCTTCTTTGTCCTTCTTTGTCCTTCTTTGTCCTTCTTTGTCCTTCTTTGTCCTTCTTTGTCCTTCTTTGTCCTTCTTTGTCCTTCTTTGTCCTTCTTTGTCCTTCTTTGTCCTTCTTTGTCCTTCTTTGTCCTTCTTTGTCCTTCTTTGTCCTTCTTTGTCCTTCTTTGTCATTTTTTGTCATTTTTTGTCATTTTTTGTCATTTTTTGTCATTTTTTGTCATTTTTTTGTCATTTTTTGTCATTTTTGTCATTTTTTTGTCATTTTTTTGTCAGTTTTTGTCATTTTTTGTCATTTTTTGTAATTTTTTGTCATTTTTTGTCATTTTTTGTCATTTTTTGTCATTTTTTTGTCATTTTTTGTCATTTTTTGTCATTTTTTGTCATTTTTTGTCATTTTTTGTCATTTTTTTGTCATTTTTTGTCATTTTTTGTCATTTTTTGTCATTTTTTGTCATTTTTTGTCATTTTTTGTCATTTTTTGTAATTTTTTGTCATTTTTTGTCATTTTTTGTCATTTTTTGTCATTTTTTGTCATTTTTTGTCCTTTTTTTTGTCCTTGTTGGTCCTTCTTGTCCTTTTTTTTGTAATTTTTGTCCTTATTATCATTTTGTCCTTTCTTTTAATCATTTTATTTTGTTGTCATTTTTTTATTTTATGTTCATTTTGACCTTTTCTTAAGAATTTTTAAGTTTTTCTTTTTCTTTGTTGTCTTTGTTTGTATTTTTTGTCTTTTTTTGTTTTTTTTTGTATTTTTTTTTGTATTTTTTTTTGTATTTTTTTTTGTATTTTTTTTTGTTTTTTGTTTTATTTTTTGTCTTCTGGTTTTTTGTTTTTTTTTTTGTTTTTTTAGTATTTTTTTTTTTTTCTTTTTTTTTTTGTCTTCTTCTGTCTTTTTTTGTCTTTTTCTGTCTTTTTTTGTCTTTTTTTGTCTTTTTTTCTGTATTTTTTGTCTGTTTTTGTCTTTTTTTTCTTTTTTTTTTGTCTTTTTTTTTTTGTATTTTTTTTGTCTTTTTTTGATTTTTTTGTCTTTTTTTTGTCCTTTTTTGTCCTTTTTTGTGCTTTTTGTGTATTGACTTGATCTTTTTACACTACAAAAAAAATATTTTGTAATTTATAATAGGTCGTGTCCCATACAAGAGTAGATTTTTAATAAAAACAAAAATCATATACTTTCCCCCATTCACCGCTGATGATCATATTATATTATGAATAAATAATGTTCGTAGTAAAAGGATACAGATAAGAAAGAATGTCATTTTTTCTGCACTATACATACCAATAATGTATGTTTCTAAGAGAGATACATGATCATATAAATGTGATTTTCATAGTATTACATAAACACTTTAAACAGGTTGATTAAGCACTTCATGCTAAGGAATAACTTAGTTGGTAGTATTGCAATATCTCTAGTTGTATAGCATTCTCATTCTTGTATTTCAAATTCAAATTTGTTACAGTTGGTCTTCTTCATGATGTGCGACAGAGTTCTTCTATGCAGCTTTGGAGGCACCCATTGTCCTCAGAAAAAAATAACTGGATTATACTCCTTAATGTTCTACAACGTCATAGCATACTGCACGAGCTACATCAAAGAACTAATAGAAAAAGAAGACTGGTCCGTCACGGTGAGGATGACCCAACATAGTAACATGAAACATGTCGCTATGTCAGCGACGAAAATCGTGTTGGAGTGGACGAAAGCGGTGACTTTCATCATTACTGTGACATTCATGTTGTTGGTTTTTGGTTTAGAACAAGGTTTAGAACATTACCAGCCAACCGCTTTGTACACTTTCGTAACGTGGACTTACTACACGTGTACGGAAAAAGTTTTTGTAGATCTCTTCTTACCGCTATTGCTTTGGTTGAAGCTGAAATCAATGGAGGCTTTAGAACCCTTATATGCTCCGGTGCTGCTTCGTTACTACACTATAAGTTTAGCGATAATTATTGTTACGTTTCTGAGTTTCCACGGGCAAGTAAGATTCACTATTTTAGCATTTTACATAACGGTGTTTCTTAGATCTAAAGATTTGGTGATGAACTCTTTGAAGCAGCTCAGAGTTGAGCAAGCTGTGTTAGGGCAGTTTAGATACGCGACTGACGATGAAATTAAGAACTGTGATGACGTTTGCGCCGTTTGCTTGAGTCCAATGGAACGGGCGAGAGCAACGCCCTGTCAACATTTTTTCCACGCTACCTGCTTAAGGCAGTGCTTAAATAATTCTCCCAATTGCCCTATTTGTAAAAGAGAATACACTTTTGTACACTAACAGTAGCTTAGGTTTTTTTGTGTAATTTAGTATTTAGATTCGTAAGCAACTCGGTATATATTTTTACATGTTCGTACTATTTGTATCATAATAAAATGTAAATAAATTTTGATAGTAGTTTTATTTTTATATCGGACGAATGATAAATGTTAACTCTTTTACTCCTTCCCATTACTGTATGTTTAAAAATTAACCTAACAAGAAAATAATACATCAACCTGTATAACAGAGATTATTTCACAACTTTCATTTTTTGTGACAGTGGTATTTTGCAAAAAAAACTCATCAACAGAAAAAAAAGCAGTTGCCCTAAAAATTTTGTGCTGGCCAGCGAATAAATTGATTTACCATAATCAGTAATAGTTTCAATCAAATCTAAGCACCCCAAATCATGGTCCTTCGAGCGTAATTGATTAAGCAGTGTCCACACGTTATCTCTTTAAACAAGAAAGGCGATTCCTAGTCATCTACACGAAGATCATAGTTAAGGTTAAGAATATAGTCACAAATTATAAATGTGCAAGATGGTGCCTAAAGGAGGGATTGTCCACAAATCCGACGAAAACGTCTGTTGTTGCATTCACAAGAAAAATTAACCTTCAAGAAATGATGGAGCTTTATATGTGAGGACAACATCTAAAAATGGCAAAGGAAGTTAAATATCTTGGAATCAGTCTTGATGGCAAGCTAAGGTTTGCAACCATATAGAAAAAACAACAGAAAAAGCTATAAGAATACTATGGGCCTGTAGACTAATGGTAAGGAACACATGGGGCTTAAACCAAGTATGATGCACTGGCTTTATACTATAGTTGTAGTACCTGTTATAACTTACTCATCAGTCACATGGTGTTACAAGTTAAAGGCGTAACAGCTAATTAGACAAGGTACAAAGACTAGACTGTCTAATAATAATAGGGGCATTTAAAACTATGCCCACTGTAACAATGAAGATCTTACACCTTGTGTTGGAGAAGAATGTTATAGCAGCGGCATATAGGCTGTTCACTAATGGATTTGGATAGGACGTTTCTAAAAAAGGACACTATACAATGATGTCAGAGAAATTAAAAAAAAATCCGGTGTTAAAGATGCCATCGGAGCTTATTATTCATGACCTTTTGATATGCAAATACCAGAAAGGACCAAAAGTCGGGAGAAAATAGGGTAAAAATAGCCTAAGGTTGCTAAATGACTCTTTTCGAGAAGAGAGATTATTTAGCATGACAGTCAGGCAGCCCTTAAAGCGCTGAAAAGGCTAGAAGTACAATCTAAATTAATATTTGATTGCCAACAATCCTCCAGGTCCTAGCAGAACATAAAGGTCACTCTTGAATGGGTGCCGGGAAATGACGGAGGGTTTGGAAACGAGAAAGCAGACCTCCTAGACATGTTAAATACAGAACAAAATATGCTTCCTGGACTTAGACAGTCAAAATATTAAGGGTACATGCAAGAGCAGACAAAATCAACTGCTAAACCTTAGCAGAAATGAACTAAAGGCCATCATAGGACTATTTACGGGACACTGCGGACTTAGAAGACACCTAAATCTCTTAGGAATATCTGATGATTCCCTATCTAGAATATGTTAAGAGGAGGACGAAAATAGTCACATGCTATGCCATTGTCGGAACCTTAAATGGAAACGGAAAAGACACTTCGGAACCTAAAGAAATAGCGCAAGCGTCCATGAATATAGTCTTAAATTTATCATGAATATTAACCTGATGGGGTAGAAACAGTGAGGGGTACAATAAGCCTATAGCTTCAGTACGAGTCAAAAATGACTTACTTTTAGAATGGAAACGGCAATGTTAAAATTCGAGACAGTTTTATCTAGAACCAAAAATAAATATTAATATAATAAACTTATAAATCAAGAAGGGTACAGAAAGAAAAAAGTGGCTAAGCCACATTTTTATCAAAATTGAACTGGTCCGCCCTATTTTGTAAAGTACCAGTATGTTTCCATGTAATAAGCCAAATTAGCAAATGCAAAACAGTGCATTTAAAATTATGTCCAAGGACTTAGCATCTTTTCCTACTGTTTGTTTGGCATTTTCAGTATTTAGAATAAAAATTTACAACTATCTGGTAAATTAAGTGGTAAACTACAATATAATCAGGCAGCATATATACAAAGTAACATCTTTTTGTAATCAATTACCATAAAGTATCAAAAGTTTGTATTTAGTCAGTCTTAATTTAAATTTGCTTTCCATTTTGGTTATTGTGACTTGGCCCCTTTTTTCTCTGAACCCTTCAAATCTGTTAGAGAGCACAGAAAGTGAGGCATGAATAAAAAAAGTACAAAGACTATTACTTCCCTGACTAGGCTGTTTTGTTTTTCACAATGCAATACTGCCACTCCAAATGGCTTGAAGAAAATGTGTTAGGTAGCAAGGAAAGTGAGGCATGAATACAAAAAGGTCAAGTGACTACTAGTGGTTAGGCTGCGTCAGCTTCCATGGTGCAATTCTTCCACTTCAAACGGTTTGAAGAAAATTCGTAATAGAACAAATTAAAAAACAGTATAGGTAATAATAATTCAGATTATTATCTGAATTAAACCAATCTAAAAACTAAATGTGTTAGGCAGCAGGAAAAGTGAGGTATCAACACCAATAGGTAAAGTGACTATTACTTTCCTGATTAGGCTGTGTCGGCTTCCACGATGCAATTCTTCCACTCAAAATTATTTGATGAAAGTTTGCACTAGAACAAAATAAAAAACTATAATATAAATTAAATAAATAAAAATAAAATGTGTTAGGAAGCAGAGAAAGTGAGGTAGGGTGACTATTACTTCCCTCAGCGAAGTTCAACGCATATAGCTGGGCTGCACTGTAAAATATTGTATCTTGTCAAATAACTTGGTTATTCTCGCTCAAAACCTATGATGCCAGATATAAAATACCAAAAAACTCTCCTTATTTTATAAATTTTAAACAAAAGATATAAAGGATAAGGTACTTAGGACTTCAAAACATAGTAAGTATTACCAAGAGAATAAAAAACAAAACAAAAAAATAAGAAAAACCATGATCGGACACTACAATGGGAGAAAAATGCAAATCTTAAAAACAGTAAAAGTAGGTTTTTCTGAAGATTGTTTCAAACCTTCACGAGTAGTTGAAGCATCAGAGTATGTAACCAAATTGTTTTGATCAACATGCTCGAAATGTATATCTTTTGAAGTTGAAGGAAGTTCATCTGGTACATGATCAAGACAGAACACTTCCGATTCTGAGAGGAATAATATTGGATATGCCTAGTTTTTTTTTTTTTTTTTAGTTTTTACACCTTTCGGATCTCCCGTGCTATACCCTAATCCGTCTATAGCCTGGCGGCACTGCAGCCTGCGGCTTATTGTACCACCATTTGAAGGTCCTACTACTTTCTCATTCATCAATTCACTCCCTGATTCATCGTCATTCATTCCACGTCGTCGGTGGTTAACCGCTAGTCGGATAAGTCCCATAGTGACACGGCCCATGGTGGAACCTCCCAGCGGTCACCCATCCACGACGTGACCGGAGAATCACTGCTTAACTGTTGCGAGTATGTGGATGCACACTAAGCTCGCAGCTAGCCTCTCCGGCATATGCCTAGTTAGACCTCTGTGAGTTTCAGGAACTTCAAATTTGTCTTTAAAATGTTTATCACATACTAAATAGTTTTTACAAATTTGCTGTGCTGTTTTATTATTGAAAAACCCAATACCCAAATTTGAAATAAATCATTATTAGGATTGGGTTCGGGAAAACGATGCCTTTTCAGAGTGTTTACAAAACAATTCGGCACACAACAATACGGCATATTTCAACTTTTAAACAAAAAATCACCACAAACATTTAAAATAAGCTCACAATCATCAGCAAGATCAAGTAAACAAATTGAAAATAAAAACACAATTGAACGAGACCAAGTTGACAATACAATAAACAATAATTTAGAAAATACTTACTATTTATTCATCCAGGTTTCAGGACACTCCAAAATGCAAACAATTATACAATAATTATTAATAATATTATGATATTAATCACAATAAATACTGGTAATGGATGCCAATTACCAATGACAAATGACACTCCTCCCCCAACTCCCACTCTTTCCACCATATTTTCCACGTATTATTTCTGTAATATGTGTGTACAGCGCCATGCGTGTCCATTCTTTGAAACTAAAACATAGTTTCAGTTATGCTATACCAGTTACCGATACCTGGTATGAGTCACCTTTGGACCACACCCAAATTCAGTTAGATAGATAGATGTATAGGGTATTAAATCACTACGATCTAAAAGATCTACTGTTAAGGAAAAAAGGATGCATTTTCGATATCTATAGGGACTCTTCCAATCCTATCTTCCCAAGGATTAGGAGTGGCTCAGTTAGAAAGATCGTGGTATACTCCTAAGTATAGGTTAGATTAGAAAAAATTAATTTACATATGAAAAACATTCTGTATGTGACTTCCAAAAAAAATACAAAATCTCAAATGGGGTGGGTTCAAAATCTAGAAAATAATTTACAATAAGAATTTGTTTCTAATAAATTTAAATTAAAAAAAAATTATTCTGTCTTCTTCCGTGGCTACGTTCCTATTCGATCTGCTTATAATCTCCCAGTTCTTCTGCAAACTCTACTGTCTTTTCATATTTGCTGTGATCTCTGTCTGTCTCCAGTCTCTACTTGTCTCTGGTACTATCCTTTACTTGTTTTTTATCTTTCTTTATATCTGCTACTCTCTGCTCGTTCTTTACACCTATTTTATCTTTAAATAAAAAAAAATTACCTATTATTTTATATTTTTCTTTATTTAAATCTTCAAATTTTTAACATATAACTTCTCTAACAATATTACTCTTTAATATAACTCAATTTCAACCCCTACATTCATTAATCCAGCTGACTTTTTCGAAAAATTCCTATCTAACAACCTTTTTTTTATCTGACAATCTCTATCTATCAAAAAAATCATTTATCCTTTTACAAACTTGATAATTTCACAAATATACTTATAGTTCCTTAACCGTCCAGCTTCAAATTTTGACACTAATAATTAAATTTAAAAATTTCGTCATCTGGCGATTTTCCATAT